AAAAAATCACGTGTCCGCTGCCGATAAAGCAGAAAAATGCGAATGATACGGCGTAAATTACGAAAGGATAAAACGTAACAAACGTCGCATTTAATGAACTCTCTCGTTCTTTCTTCTTTCTCGTCGTAATTGCACGTGCGTGTGCATTTCTTGTCGAACGTCCTGCATACAAGCGATCAAGGTTTTTAAATTTAACGCGAGAAAGAAGAAGAGTATCGATGCTGATGAAACGAAACGGTGACCCATCATAGTCTACCACCCCTTTTTGCGCGCGAGCTTATTTTCACGCTGCTGGGAAATTACGATTTCCGCGAATCGGTAACTATCTCCCGTGTGACCCGTTACCACTATCCGAAGCCGAGTATTACGTGCTGAGTCAGGTCGGGCAATTGTGTAAACGCGAAAAAATTAGTATCAAGATCCTACCGTGTTCCTAGGCTTTCGCTCGAACGCGTAGCGTTACGTTAATGAACCGTGTAGAACTGTAACTGCGCCGGTTTCGATCGTTCCGTCGCCACGGAATACCTAACAATTTCCTTATCTGATACGAAATGACTTCCATCGTTAAGAATGCTATTAATATACGGAGTGTCTCGTAATACGCGGAACGTGTTCGAAGAATGAACTCAGCTCTTGGAAATAACGAAAAGAAAACTACTGGTCGAAACCTTGGAATCACTATGAATTGCAAGTTAAGCATAAAATTAGAAGAGATTTGCAATCTGGATAAATACGGCAATTTGAATCGTTAACGAAATTTCACTAACGTTTCTTCGAAACGAATTTTAATTCCTATTGAGAAAAGGTTTAAATTGCTTAACGAACAATTGTATACTTTGATAAGTATCCCAGAATTTTTTCAGATTTTTTTCAAGCCTAGAACGGTGAAAAAGCTAGACTTGGGCATAATCGACCCAGTTTGCCTATGGAGTGTGAAAAAATGTTACCCACGGAGGATTAAATTTATAATTGAAATTTACCCAAACAAAATAAATCGCTGCTAGTTCCTGTAACACCAGACATTCGGTACATTTAACCCGATTTCACGGCTAATCCACGTATTTCCGAATTTCTCATTCGAAAATCTTTCAAAACTCCGAAGATTCGGATACCAAAATTCCCGAGTCGTGTCTTGTAATTATAGGACACTTGGTATACAGCGATAAGTTTCTCGATATACGACGAAGATAGGGGTTGGTAATCGATGTTTCAACGGGGAGCGAGTGTTTTCAACCCTCGAAAGGTGGAAGAACCCATTCTGTTGGTCGCGACGCGTTAACAGGTACACTTTTTCGCATGACAGAATAAATACGACCGATTATCGTCCTACAACGCTTCGGATTACACGGCAGCCTCTGAACGAAAGGTGTACTAGGGCAAGTTCGGTGAAGCCATTGCTGTGTGTATCGCAGTTAACCTTAGGCCAGTTACTCGGTTGCCTGCATAGATTCCAGTACATTGTCTGGCATTTATTAGTACACGTCATTGCTTCAAATCTACGCCGGTTCGTTAGAACCTCTGGCCTCTGTTCACCGAGTGACACGCACACCCACGGGAAAAAGGGGGCACGACCCCACGACACGTCAGTCGATTAGGCTTGCGCGGATGGCCTGTATACACGGTTCGCTTCGTGACCTTTTCATTAGAACTGTATTAAAAAAAGATTAGCGCCGAGGCGCTCGTGGATCCACGGTTACTCCGGTAGTCCCTCTATTCACGTTTCGCCCGTGAGTTTGTGTAATTTTTAGGTTATGTAGATCGATGCGGTGAGCATTTATTGGGTGAGCGAGGAGAATAGCTCCGTTGGTGGAACTTGAGGCTTTATTTAGTCACTTTAATCGATCAATTTCTGCTAGTTTTGTTTTTATCGCGTATAGTTCGATACATTATCTATGCAAAGTGTTCTGTTTGACTGCCCCAAATAGTTCCGCCATCGTTGGTACAACGTCTGATGGAAGATTTCTTTCTTTCGGAAGAACAAATATTCTTCTACTTTTCTACATTGTACAGAGTCTCTTAATTAGTTGTATCTTTTCACATAAAATCGTTTATTTAAAAACGAATGAATTTCTCAGTTATTGAAATTTTTAGTAGTGTACTCTAATTTTAACTCGTACGCTGTTTAACGATGATAGCTGACGGGCTTCTGATACACTTCGTTCCTCAGCGACGATTATGCATTGTCACGATCGATACTATAATTCACGCGTGGATAATACTTGGGCTGTTTGACCTAGAGCTTTCTTTGAATCTTATTAAGTCTCATCGGGCCGTCAGTCTAGCTGATGTTCGATGAAACGTGTTGAAATAACAACGTTACAATATCTGAATACACGAGCTGAGAATCGTGTAATTGTTCTCGTGTTCTGACTCGACCAGCTAACGATCAAAGGGTTTTTAAGTAACGATACGCTCTCCACTTGTTTTCCCCCCGAAGAGAAATTATTCGCAGGACTGTAGAATTTCACCCAGTGGGGAATATTATCGACTTTGTTGCACAGTAACGCGACACGCGGTCGACTAGAAAGGTTGCATTTTTATGGATCGATTCGCGAGATGGAATGATGTTCTCATGGTCAAGTGTCGTGCTTCGCGGCCTATACGTTTAGACTGTCACATGGTTGCGAAAGTTAGTTTGTTTCAAGTGCAACACGCGTTACTTAATCTCGACCGGCGTAAAGTTCAAGGTGTCGGCTGCGTTTCTTCGTTATCACGTCTATTTAGCTCTCCGTGTCGTTTGTAACTTGTTTTCAACAGGTTGGAAGAGCTGTCCGGGATTCTGCCATAAGATCACGCCTATCGTTTTCACGTAGGACGTTACACGTGTGCGAAACACGAAAGTTCAAATGTGAAATGTGTTAAATTTCACGCGTGTGTAATCCTTGAAAAAATTGAACGGCAAATGTCATCCTGCATAGATTTGCTTTGACACTACGCGATAAATATTCTACACAAATCGGATTTATAACGAATCCGAAAATCGATAATAGACAAACAGAAGTGTCACCGATTGAACAGACATTCGCGTACGTTTTAGCCAAAGTTCAATCGAAAATGTCACCCTGCGTGGGCTTTCTTCCGCGTCAAATAAATCCACTCGGAGGAACAATCGAGCCATGGTATTTCTAATTAATTCGAGGATATAATGCAATTCAGAATAAGAAGAAGTAGTGTCGTATATTTTAACGTCCCTCTTGCATAGCACGTTGAATTTCCCAACAACTTCCAATCGGTAGATGTACACCTAACTCACAGCGATAAAGTAAACCGTCGAAGAAAATAAACGCTCTCTCTCCCTTAATTGTGACTGCTCTTATTCGACCGTTCTTCCGTTGATCCCGAAGTAAAACGTAGTGTATCACACTAAACAGGCAAAAGAAGCACACCAGGCCTCTGTGCAATTCCGAGTGGTTCGACGATCGAAAGTTTTTCGGATGCAATTACCGGATTCAAAGGGAACTGTTCTGTAATATCAGCTGAAACCGGCGTTTTCTCCCGAAGCTCGTTACGATGTGGGCAATTAATTATTCTTGAGCTCGCGGCGAACGCGATAATAATTATAATTTTCGCGTGGTCACGTTGGTCGGTTCGTTAGCGGGACATTAGCTTTCCTCCTCTCTATTTTTCCCTCCCGTATACATCGATACGAGAGCAGTTGGTCAAGTGCGTTTTGTATGTCGTTACCGATGCTTTCCCCCGGAAGAAATTCAATTCGCTTCTCGTGTTCGAATAGTTTGATCGAACCGTGTGTGTGTGTGGATGTGCACAGTCCCTATCTGTCTACGCGTTCAGTGGTAAATGCATATATGGAAGCCGTTTCAAGGCAGGCTCATTGTCGTTGAAGTGTCACACGTGAATTGCGGCGAATTGATTTATTCAGATAGTGGATGCTCAATGGAAAATCGTGGAACGTTGAAATCGAATTCACCAGGCACCCCGGCTTCAATTTCCGCGTATGTGTCTTCGGGATGCATTTAAGAGCGGCCGCCCATTTTTGCGAGAGAAGATAGCCCCGGCGAACCGTCCTCGAACAGGTCTCCAGCCGGATCGAAAATCTTTCGACGTCTCGCAGATGGAATAACCTGTTTTCCACCTTTTCATACCGTGAAATTGGAAATTTCACGTATCTATGTCACCGTGTTATTTATTTTACGTTGGTTAATGAACGGTGGCAAAAATTTTTAACACTTTTGATAACTGTATAAAATGATTTGAAGGAAATATTGAGAACAGAGATGTGTAAGAATAAATTGTGTATAATAAAACTGAAATATTGTTTAACAATAATTTATTAAGAGAAATTTTCTGTAAGGGGGATAAACGGAAAATTAGTCGGTCTGTTGATATTTGTGTTACAGTTTTCCGTTTTTCCGTAGAATTTCAAGCGTTAACGAGATCAATCGTACGACCAAATGCCTCGCGTTAATTTAACAATCGTGTGTTTTTAAACTCGATTTATATCACGGCGAAATTCCGACACGCTTCGAAACAATAGCCGTGTATCATTAACGAAGCTTAAACAAAAAGATGGAAATATGCTTGTTAATGAATTCGAAAGGGGGAACAAAGCGGCATAAATACCTTCGCGTAAATGATATTTACCCTTTTCGGCGGGACCACGGGGTATCGTTTCACATCTCTGTCGAATCAACAAGAATTCCACGGTCTCAGGTTGAAATGAAATTACCCATTGACTCGTTTCGCGTTAAGACAAATAAGTGGAATAACCCAGTTTCACTTTAATTATTCTGAAAGTCCAGCTGCGTGTACGCACGTATATGCTTTTAATCGAGAACGCCGCGGTTTAATTCCATTTATGGCCGTGCTCGCCTCGTCCCGGCACGCGTGTGTGTATGCAGTTGATACGTTGATTTAGCGAAATTAAGTGGCCCACGGGGAATTATTAATATTATCTTTTACCCGGTATTCCTGTAAACGAAAACATTTTCTCTCGAATCAATTCGACACCATTGATTCGCGCTACATAATCTCTTTGTGTTTCTGTTGCAGTGAGGAAGGCGCGGTTCGTCTGCGAGGAAGGTTTGTATTCTACTTGTGGTGAACGGAGAGAAGAACAGTCCCAATCAGGATCTAGAACGAGGAAACGACAGAGATACTATTTCTCTACTCGTTCTTCTCGGGGCTAGTTCTCCTGGAAATCTTTCACGAGCGTGGCGCAAAAGTTCGCGTGCAAACCGTGAGCGAGATCCGTCCTCGTCGTCGTTGTCGTTCGATTGTTCCGAAAATTGAAATCGAAGCGATACCTTCATAAAACGAAGTCCTTACTCACGCTCCAGTTCTGAGGTTCGCGCAAAATTTGTTGCACTCCGATTGGAACGGTTCCAAGTTAAAGGTTATGTGGCTCCTCAACCGGAATATCGTGATGTTCTGTTCATGCCGAAATAATTTTTCCACGGCACAGGCAGAGATCCTTCGCGACAACGTGACGTTACGAATGGCAGCTCCTCGAAACCTTCCCTATTTTTGCCGATGCCTCGCCTCACTTTGTTTTCAAACACGCAAATAAGTCACGCTCCAGTTTGCCCCGAGACTCACGTTACATCCGATGCCCCGTAACTATAGGCGAACTATTTTGAGATGGAAAATTAGATCGCTCCGGATAAGCATCTTGAACCTGTGTCCTTGATTTTTTCTTTTTTTTTGCTTTTTCTTAAGCTTCGACTTCACTGCCGTTTCTTCCTTTGTACGTACGAGTGTATTCAGAGTAGTGTCGTTTTTCGCCGAAGGTAGAGTTTCGAGAAAGTGTTTCGGTATTCTTAGAATTTAACTAATGACGCCGATATACATGTCGTAAAGCGTTCCAAAGAGTCACGCGACTCGATGAAAATGCACGAGCAGAAATGCTTCAAGTATTCGCGGTTCGGTTTGGATCGTTTCATTTTTGTATTTTTAACATTCCGCGCTGATATCACAAGTAGAGATTACATCGACCGGAAGTGTTATTTTTTATTCGAACGTGAAACAATTTATCCGAGTGAGAACGTGGAATTAAACGTTCGTTGCACGCGCACGATTCGCGATTTCTAGGTGAGAAAGTGAGACAATTTCCAAGAATAAGAGAGCTCTTTTACAAACGCCGTTAACGCTTAAACTTTTCAGATCGAAGTAATTTCCTGTTACGTCTACGCGATTTACTTCGCCCCGCGACACACGACATTCTGCTGTGACAGATACAAGGCTTGAGACATTCAGTAACTTTGCATTCATGCTGCGCGTCTTTCTGTATTCCGCAAACGATGTCACGCGTGCCATCCAACGAACTGCATCAACGGGAATCATTACTGTATCCTGTGTGCAATAGCAACAGCAGTATTAAACGTTCAATGAGCTTGGTGCGTTGGAATTTGAGTACAGGAGTAACAAATCAGTAGACAAACGTACATACGTCAGATTCACTTGAGTGTGAGATCAATTTGACTCGGACGTTGACTTGCTTCCAAGATCGACTTGGCTTGAAGATTGATTTGACTCATGCGTTGACTTAAATAGTTCGAAAACCGAGATGACCCGAAAGTTAGTTGAGTTAGGGATCGACTTGGCTTAGAGATTGACTTGGCCCAGATGTCAACTTAGTTCGAACACTGAGATGACTCGAAAGCTACTTGAGTCAGGGTCGACTTGACTTTGAGATTGATTTGGCCTAGATGTCAAGTTAGTTCGAACACTGAGATGACCTGCAGGTGACTTGTATTGGGGGTTGACTTGGCTTAGAGGTTTACTTGGTTTAGAGATCGACTTGACCCAGAGATCTGCTTGACCCAAGGGTCAACTTAGCCTAGAGGTCGACTTGACCCAGAGGTTTGCTTGGGTCAAAGGTCAACTGGGCCCAGAGGTCAACCTCACCCAAGGTTTGAGTGGCCTGAACCTTGGACTAAGTCACTTTCTAGTCAAGTTGTCCTCTAAGTCAAGTCAACTTCCAAGCTAAGTCATCCAGATCAAGTTAACATTTGAGCAAGTTTGATATCATTCGAGTCGTATTATCACTTGCCAAAAACATTTAGTCTTAGGCTTCGAGTATTCAATTTTCCACGTCGTTCTCGTCAGTTCACTTCTAAGTACTTTATATCTCTGATTCGAAACTGCCATCCTACTTATTAAACATTAAAATCGCAGATTGAATTTCAAAGCAGTCGTACGCGACTAGCATGCGTGTCTATATATTGTAGCAGCATGAACGACCTGAAACTATGTTAATATATGCATGTATTTAAATAACGTTGTGCAAATATTTTTTATCGTGGCCTCTTGAACTAAGGAGGGAATCTTTTACGTCTACCGTGTTGCACAAGCACGTGAACGATGAATCGTTCCGATGATCACGTTGACAGGCAATGTATCATGCAAATCAGGCTGAAGTATTCTTCGTCGGTGACAGTGCACAATTAGAATCGCGACAATTTCAGACGGTATAAGGCGGTAACAAGTGTTTCAATTATCCGAAACGATCTAGGGATCTCCGCGTACGTATGTTTCACCGAAGCGACAGGCTTCGTAATTGTCATTAATAACTCGCTGAACAGTAGTTACATCAACCGTAATCAAATATTCATCAATAATGGAAATTGTCTCGCTTTACAAAGCAATCGTGGAATACTTTCCAGTGAAAATAGAAACGAATAAATTATGCAGGGAATAATTTTCCAAGCACAACAAACGATTCTTATCTTCAAACGTATTTCACAAACTTCTCTACAATTTCATCGAACACAACACCATCTTCCATCGAGCCACTTTTATCCCTCTCGACTTCGGTATCTAAACAATTGTTCCCAGTTTACACTGTAACCGTTCGATTTATTCATTTACTTCACAACCAACCGTTCCTCTTCGTTATCTAGTCGTGGAGTTTTTAAATTAACCCGATCTCCTTTAAACTGGTATCCCATTCGAAGAGTAAATTTAGAAAACGTCGCCAAGGGGTTGGCTTCCGTTTACTGAAACAATTTCGTTCCCCTGTACAGCGAAATGTCGAAGACCCACTCTCTCCGGTTTGTAACACACACACACACAGACATCGAGCACATCGTAAAGCTCTGTGCACTTCCTTTTTTTTTTTTATTTCCAACGAGTTATCGAGAGCTCGCAGCCGTAGTGTACACGCGTGCACAGAAAGCGAAGGTGAAAGCTTACAGAGCTTTACGGTTCGTCTGTGCCGTTCTCCAGACACACAGATGGAACGAAAGACTGGCCACGTATTCTTGGTAAATTGAGAATAGATCGAAGTTCGTTCGGTGAACAATTTTATATATCTGTCTGTACATGCCGTTCCGACCTGTTATCGATTCCGACGTCGGTTTATAAATGTTTTCAGTCGCCGTGGACTGTTAGAGAGACGGGTCTAGCTTCGAGAGATTATCGAGAGAGAAGAGAGGAGGAGAGGAGACAGGAACGATAATAGTTTGTTTCTGTTTAATTATGTAGGCGAAGAACACTCCAAAGTACTCGGTAGTTCTCTATAAACAACTTTTTAATTGTTCCACTGTGAAACACGACGCGACGGAGAACGCGTAACGATGTTCCGGATATTCGTTACGAAACGAACCGACGATTTTTCGTTTCGTCACCGGATAAAATCCTCGTCGGCGTGGAAATATTTTATTTTTTTGAGTCGCCCGGCTGCCGTGCCGCCTGCGTTCGAAACGCGCCGCGAGGAGTTGAGGTAATTAAAAGATTTTTTAATTAAACCCGTTCCCCATGCAATTCCCGCCGCGTACCTATACGGCATGCGGAGGAACACTAAAAATGTAATTTCGTAATTTTCGCTTCGGTCAAGTATCGGGTACTTGGGTACGAAGGGACAACTGTGAGATGCTTATAGAGTCTCTTAATATGGAATTTGAAAAAAATCGAATTTCTTCTTTTTTTGAACATTTAACGAGAAAGGAAAAACTGGCAATTTGTCTAGCGAAATACTTTGAGAATTATACGTTATAATAAAAAGAAACATGCAAGCCTCGAAATATTTACCCTCAGTCCTATTAGCATGGAATTAAGAAAAAAAAAAGGAAATTTTTCAAACTTCTAATGAAAAAGAAAAATTGTTCATTGGTCCAGAGATATATTTTGAGAATTTCATATTATAATAAAAAAACACGTACATTTAATCAACGCACGTACAAATAAATATGCAAGCCTCGAAATATCTACTCTCAGTTTTTTTAGTATGGAATTAAAAAAAAATCTTTGTCCCTTTCCTATGCTTTTAATGAAAAAAGAAAAATTTGTCCAGTGAAATATTTTGAGAATTACATATTAAAAAATTACAAATAAATGTGCAAGCTTCGAAATATCTACTTTCAGTTCTTTTAGTATAGAATTAAAAGAAAAAGCAAATTTGTCCCTTTTTTAAACTTTTAACAGAAACAGAAAAATTTGTCAATTTGTCCAGTGAAATATCGGTAGTATCATTCGAAAACAAAATCGTCCAGATTAATTCGATCAGAGGACCGCCCTAATAAACCAATCAGTCACAACACAACCGATTCAGCTAATTTCGTGGATTCCGTTCCGTAGGAGAGCCCTCGAACTCTATATTACACGTCCCACGCGATCGACGATTGAAATTATCAGCTTTTTATCTCGTCCCACGCGTCAGCCTACGCGAGGTGACATTCCGGAAAGGCGTCGTAACGTTACCCTCCTTGAATGCCGGTTTAATTTATCGGGGTGAACAGGATAAATCCCGGTTTTATCCTATCGTAAATAATTTTCCTCTCGTTTTCGCAATACCTTGACTTCCTCTCCTCCTGGCCGATTCCCGCGCGTATTTATCAACGTCAACATTTCCATTTTCCGCGGGACAGATTTCTTTTTACGAGCCTCGTCGTTCCTCTGTCTCTTTGTGACGATCAATCGAAGTCGCGTAACCTCCACCTCCACCACCCTTTTCGACGGTAGTTTGCGCCCCGCTCGTGAAGGGAAAACAATCCGGACAGAATTGCCGGGACGCTTACGGTGCCGGACCCGATTCAAACCGATTCACGACGATTTTCAGCGGAACAATTCAACTCGTACGTAACACTGAAGCTGCAGAATGTGAAGTCGACGACGGTGACGGTGAAAGGGGCCAATCCATGCTGGGAGCAAGACTTTCTTTTGTAAGTATACGTTTAGCATATCTGTATATAGCACGATTGAATGATAAGTTCGTCCTTCGTGTATCTCGTTGGAAGAGCATCAAGTGCATTATCTTTAGATGAAACATACACTGGTTGGGTAAAGTTTCTCGACCACTTGTCGATTTCGATTGATGTTACCTTCGAGTACCAATTTTTTCGCTGATCTGGAATTAATTGTATCGAGAGCGATGGCGATGCACGTTCCAGTAACTCACGCTTTAGAAAATTGAAAAATGTATAAGTATACGATATTTCGGTTCCTGAGTGAAAAAGTAATGGCAAATTTTTCGGGAGAAATTATGTTTATAATTATCGAGTTGGTGGAAGGAAGTGTTATTTATTATTAGAAGAAATATTAAAATATAAATATTAGACAAATATGAGAAGAAATATTAGATAAATATTAGAAGAAACATTACTCGAGTGCAAAAGATACTAAATTCACTCCCTTATGATCCCTACATTTCCAAATTAATTCCTATTAAAAAAACAGAGAAAAAAACATCCCAAAGAAACTTTCACTAAATATCAAAAATTTCCACAAACTCCCGTGTCGTACACCTCGCAACAGTTTTCCTCGACGTAGTCGTTCCTCGAAACGCGGCGTCGATGGATGAACGAACTTATTACTCAACCTGATACTACAGCAAAGGGCGAGTGAGGAGGATCGAGTCAGGGTTGAAGGGGTGGCGAATTTACGGCAACGCCTCGAGGATCGTTTCTAAGTTTCGAGTGTTTTCCACGATTCTGTTCTTCGGAACAGAAATGAAAAAGAAAGAAAAAAGCAGCAAAAAAAAAAAAAGAACGAACAGACAGATAAAACGAGAGAGAGAGGGAGGGCAAAGAATGTTTCAATTTCGAATTTAAATTTCGAGATTCGAACTTGACGATCCAGAGCGCGGAGTTACAACCTCGGAACGATTGTACGACTCGCGAGACGAACTTTTCCTGTCTCCCAACGGTAATACCCGGTGGGCAGCGGAGCAGCGTTGAATAAAAATGATAAGGGCTCGGAGAGAGAGTGTGAGAGAGAGAAATTGACGAGGTCCGGAGTGTGCGCGTTATCGGGCCGTCGTTCATTACTGAGTTTGCGTCGAGGCTCCGGGAAACGTGGAGTTTCACGATCGACTATCGAACCCCCTTAAGAGGTAATCCGATCCATAGCTGATATATAAATAGGTGCTTAGCCAGCACAATGGGATAGCGGCGATTAGCTAATCGCAAGTTGTGTTTCGCGTTTTAATCTTCTTTATCTACCTTTCTACCCTTTTCTCCACTCTTTTCATTTACTTCGTTCCTCTTCATTTTAAACCGTTTCCACCACTCTCTCTCTCCTTCTCTCTCTCTCTCTATATATATATGTATGTATATGTACGTTTCACCCTTCGGTGATATTTTCCGTTCGAGTATCGATTTTCTCTTCGCTCTTCCTTCTCACGTCGACAAAAGCGGACTTCGTTTTTTGCCCGCGCTCGAGCGCTAGCCGCGGTATAATTATGCTTTGGAATAATTTTGTCGACGCCCTTTACCGGCCGCGCTTTATCATTCCGGTATTATCACCGGTGGTGTACGTGAGGTACCCTGGCGATACACCGCGGAATATCATCTTATTTATAAAAAGGAGAACGCCGCCTGGGATGTAATATTCGAGTATTTGCGGTTCGCTCTTTATTATTAGCCAGGTTTTCATACCAGGTGTGTACATCTACCTCTCGCCAGCATCCGGTTTATTCACGGGAAACTTGGATTCTTCAATGAAACTTCCTACGGTGTGGTTTTATTTTTGTTTATTACGCGCGTTAGCTTGAGAGACCGGCATGCGTCTAAGTAGGGAGAAAAGTCGATTTGTACGAAAATTCTTTTTTTTTTTAAATCACCCCCAAGTTTTCCGATTAAAAGTCCGCGAAATGCGGAATTTTTAGATTTTTATTATAATATGCGAATTGGTTGAGAATATTTTGGAAAATACCTCGTCTTATTTCTAAACTACGTGTCACAGAGCTGTCACGTTTCGTCAACTTCTAGATCTCATCTAGACACGCGTGAAAGAGCGCATATTTCAATTTTAACGAAAATTGGACATACCAGATTTCTGACCGCAGATTTGATGTTACGTCGCGTTGAAAATAAAGCTCGCGCAAGTTTCGCGGAATACTATGATCCACGTAAATCCCGCGGTGGTGACGAGAGCGAGAGAGAGAGAGAGAGAGAGAGAGAGAGAAGAATCGCGTGGCTAAAGGGAAATCTGTCTATCAACGAACAAGATTAACAGCGTGGCAGGCGGTCGGGGAGAAAATGATAGAAATACCGAGTGAAATTGCGACGACAAGCGGGTGTCTTTCTCTCGAGGAGAAGTTTTTCACGTGAAATCCCTTACTCGACTCTGCTTCGCGACGAAAGCTCGCGGTCGGTTTTCCGTTTCTACCAGTCTTACCGTACGTTTCTAAAGACGAACGAGGTCTATCAAGTTGTGCCAAGTTATGCAACGTTATGAACGTGATCCGCATCTCTGGCTCGATACGTCTCCCTATAGATATAAACGCGTATTCGACGATAGAAAAAAAAAAGACGAAAACCGAACGAAAAGTGGTGAGACGATTGTTTCGAGTGAAAAAAAGAAAAATAGATTTTTGGTTTAGTTTGCTCCGTTGACGCGAGAATAGAGAGCGCGTCAAGTGGTCGAGACGAAGAACACGCTATTGATCGAGCGTCTAAAATATATAAAGGAGGACGATTGCAAGTCGCGGCGGTAGAAAATAGGAGAATTTTGGATCTTAGCTTTTTGAAATATCCCTACTGGCGCCGTTAAATCCTCACTTGCCAAGTTGCGAACCTTTAACCTACTTTTCCTTTGACGCCCGGTCTCTCTACGTGTGCCCGGCTCGCATTTAAATCGTATTTATTTAACCTGTGACGAAATCACCCGTCCGAAAATAAGAATCCCCGTTCATGTACCGATCGATTTCCCTCGATTTAGAGCACATCTATTGATTGTACTAATAATGCTACTACTAAAGGTCTATTCATATTTGTACACTCGATTTTTATCACGCCGGAGAAGAAATAATCAGTTTTAATTAAATTTCATATTTTGCGATGTAACCAATTTTTAGGCACAAAGTGTGACAAATGTCTAGGTTGAACGTAACGTAGATAGCAAACGTAACGAGAATAGTACGAATTTTTCCTTTCGAAAGCTACAGAGAAGCGGAAAAGATCGATCGATCGAGTTACTGGATCGTGATTCGAATTCGAATCTCCTATTTGCCAGATCACCATCGTAACTAATTAAATCTTCCAATTACTCGACCAATTGTTTCTTCCTAAGTCTAACGTATAACCCATTCTTTCTCCGAGATACCTGATCAGATCCTTAAAGATCCTTCTCCTAATCTCTGCTCTTACTCATTGATTACTACTTGATTACTCTTCACTCGTAGAATGTAGCTATCTATAACTCTGTCATCCCTCGTGTTTCAACCCTCCTAATCCCACTCCCTTTAAAACATCCAGCCAAATCCATTCACCCTCTACGTAGAACTCTACATAATTTTCTCTCCCTTATTTCACTCCCCACTCCCTCTGTTTCAATTTTTATCCTTACTCTTTCTGTATGATAAAACGAGTTCTCACCAGGTTCCGAAGAAATGAATCGAAATCCGTTAACGTTGAACATGGAATTTCTCTGTTATCTAGCGAAACGAACGACATAAACACGGGCCTTCTGGTGGAGGTCTGGTGCAAGGGTTTCCTGTGGGACCGTTTCTTGGGCTACTACTACGTCCCATTATCAGAAGTGTCCTACATAAATGAGGTAACGTCTAAGCAGTCCTACAATACTACCACCGGCACGGTATCGACAGGGAAACAAGAACAACAACAACAACAACAACACATATCCCTCGACAGCATGCGCGACACGAACAGCAATACACAGCAACCAGACATCACCAACACGGTACACTAATTGATACATGCAACCTACCTTACCTAGATTTCTAGTCCTTAGCTGCACCATTTCAGATTAATTCCTAAACATGCATGGAACTACTGGCTGTCATATTTTGGAACGCGCTGCGGCAAAATCACGATTACACTGACGACGGGACGCGACGCTAATGGTAGGGGTGTTCCGTATTATTTTGGGGATCGATTAGAACCTGTGTCCCTATATTCCGCACACACACACACGACGTCGCCGCTCTTATCACAGCACAGACACGATTTCACTGTTTTTGTGTGTGTGTGTGTGTGTATGTATATCGAGGATCGTGTATATTAAACGAACACCTGGTCGTTTATTCACAGGATGTGTATGATGGATCGTTAGAATAGAAGCTACCTAGAGAACGCGAAAGAATACCGAAGGAATAGAGTGCATATTTATGATAACAGTGGTATACGCGCGGTAGTTTGGCCAACCGACCAATTCTAGTATTCGAGAGTTACCGCGCGAACGTGTCGCTAATCCTTAAGCAAGTGTATCCAAGGAGAATTTTCTTCTCTGGAGAGCTTTCGCGCGGAGCAGTATCTTATAATCAGCGCGGAGAAACTGCAATCGTAAAGTGGAGGGACCTTTAGCGACAAACGATTTCCACTTAACTTGTGATACAATGCATCGGGGAGACGTTATAACGTGGAGAAAGAGAGAGAGAGAGAGTTCTGTACTTTTTTCCTTCGACTTGAAGCAACGTTGTTAACGCGCGAGCGTGTACAGCGTTCATCTGAATTTGATGGAAAAAATTAATTGCCCCACGGGGAACGATACACCACGAAGCGTACAGTGTTTACCATTTAACTTGTAGCACGTGGGAATTGTTTTTAGAGAGATCCTCTTTGTCTGTTTTTCGTTGCTTTTTTTTTTCTTCGGTTTTTTCTACCACGGCAAAATCTAGTTTCTTTATCAAAGTTTCGACGCGTGTTCACGCGTCACAGCGAATTGGACGCAATCGCCGTGAGGAACGTAGCGCTAAAAGCGTCGCGAATTTTTTATTCGCAACCCGCAACCTCTCTGTCATCCCTTTCCCCTCTCGCCGCCGGTTCTCGTTATTTTTCCCGTGAATGGCACGCGACTCGTGCTTCATTGAGCATAAACTTTGCTTCGATTTTGTAACAGAGGAAAGGGAAAAGATGGAAGCGGGGGCACGGGAAAATACGGGCGTCGTGACATGTTTAAATGGCGTCGCGTGAGTGTTACTGATCGCGAAGGCTGTCCTTAAAAAAGAAAAAAATAGAGAGGAGGAAAAATGAAAAAAAAGGGAGTAATACACGTGCAACGGCCGGCTTAAAAAATCCCGTTCGATAGATCGGTGACACGATATCGAGGGCTCGCCCTCTCTCTCTATATCGTAGGCTTCTATAAAAAATTTTACGTCACTCTCTCGTGATAGCGAAGTTTCACAGGCTGTATAGTGTGTGTGTGTGTGCTGTGGGATTAGAGGAGGAAAGAGGGACTTTCGGTATTTATGCCAGTGCTTAACTGTGCCGGCGATACTTAACGCGAAGATTAAGTGTGCAGTTAAAGATTTGATTAAATATCGATCATCGGTAATTTCTAGTTGGAACAAGCTCTTCTTTTCTTTTTTTTACAACGAACATTTTTCTCTCGTGTTTTAGTACGATCTTGCCTTTTTTCGTCTCTATTTTTATGGTAATTTTATGGGATAGACAGCGAGGTGTCGAGGTTTGATATGGTAATAGGACGAATGAAAAGTCGACTTTTCTCTACTTTAACGCAGCATACGTTGCGACGATATGCATACAGTTCCCCGTAGTTTGCTCATACTTTGAAAAAGTAACTCTCCTCCCTTCAACGTCTGAATAATTACTCAGCTATTAGCGTTGACGACTGTACTCGTTTAGAATTGACAAGTTGTACCGTAAGGAGGGAACTGTTTGAATGCGAAATTGTAGTTTTCTCAAGGACGATACTCTGCAAAGGGGGGTAGCAAATCGAGAATAAGAACTAGATCAATTTATTCCACGATCTTTCTGAAAATTTCTCTACTCGACACGCTCGTTTCCATAAATACCCCGCGTTGTTCCACGTTGTTCAGAAAATTCACCCTCCTCCAATCATTATCCCCGTCCGCTTTAGCAAACAGCCTTGGAAACCGCGAAGAAAAATACCCGTTCACGTGTAACAATTATTCGAAATCAACGACTTGTCACTCGTGTTCCCGCCGCCTTATCGACATCAGATAGTTGGAAAGTCGACGTTACGGAATAATCTCGGGGATCGATGAGTGAAGAACACGCTAGGAATTCCAACGCGGTACATATAGTACATAGATATACACATATATGTACAGATTGTGAAGGAAGAAACGTAACGATATCGACCGTGATTGCTGTCGGACGGTTCGGTTTTGTTTCGACGGAAGTGTTGATCCCCTTCTGTTCCCGATCGAACGAATATCGCGCGTGGCGTCGAGTGGATCATCGAAACGACTTGATATTCTCGCGGAGAACGCCGTACGAGTGGCGGCCGTGCGGCGCACGTGAAATGAAACTGAAACGAGTGTTTACACATCGAACGAACCAACCCCCGGCGAATCAATTGACGCCGGTTGTACGATTCGATGGAAGTGTGTAACGAGTTTTAGGTTAGCCTCCATGATGTCGCCGATGCGCCGGATTGGTCTGTGCATTCGGTCCAGCCTCTGGTCGATAATGCGATTACCGGTGGACACCGATGTTTGTCTCCCTGTGACCGTCTCGCGTATGGTCAAATAAAATCTGTTATATCTTGGAACTTCCGTCTGAAGGAAATCACCGGGCTTCTGCTTGGTCGGGGATTAATTCGATTGCCGGCGTAAAAATCTCGTTCTCCTATCTGGATGGGGACGCCTCTAATGGCTGTTTCGAATAAGAAATTCGCTCGAACGTCAGCTTTTATTTATTTATTTAGTTTATTTTTACGCCGACGTTAGTTTGCGAAGATAAGTGAGCACTGCGATACTACACGAGCACGACATATTTAAAATGAGAAAATTACGAGACTTTGTCAATGTGTTACGAAGGAGCGGGGAGAAACATTGAAGAAATTTAAATTTTTTATTGAAGTTTTAATTGGATATTTGTAGAATTTTTACTGTTAAGAGTTTAATGCTTTGCAGCGACGATGATTGAATGTAATAATAATTTTGAGGAAATTCGCAATGCTGAAATAACTCTTGTGCAGCTTTAACAAAGTATAAAAGGTTCTCTGTGAACACACTTTTCTCTATACGACACTGATTAACACGATAAGTCTCTCCTTTCTCTATATGGATCATTCATACCCCTATTCGCTAGGAAAACTCTTCCTTCCACCTCTTCATTTTCTCCTACCGCACACGCGCGCCATTTTCGGGGTTTCCCCGCTACAAACAGCCATCGCGTCGCTGGTCCTCGCAAAAGAGTCTGATTGCGTCTCTAATTTTCTCTTCTCTGGCCTTCTTCCTGCTCTTCTTAAAATACTGCATGCAGAGGGCAACATTTTACGATACTACATATTAACAAAATAATAAAATATTGATAAATAAGGTATAAATCGAAAATATAAAAAGTATAAAAGTATCAGTAGCACTGCGTCAAAGCGGAACGCCCGAAACAGCAAAAAAGGAGCACGTTTAATTAACAAGATCGCGAATCGCCTTAATTCCGTTTCACCCTAAGCATGATTCTTCGATAATTGGAAAGCTAAGATAGCATCTGATCCGATTTATCACGAACGATCGCTGTTCCGATTCCTTTATCTCTCATCTGCTTGCCATCGATGGTTCGCAGCGTTTCTTGCTAATTCGGTAGAGTAACGATATGATCGAACGAGTAATTGCTGTATTGTAACAGCGTAAGTTTCCACGTAGATGCGATTTCCTTCTTCCAAGTTTATTCCACTTTGTCCCTTCTCCGCGAAGCCGGGGAACTTTTCGACAGCGGATAAACGAATTGGCCGCAAGAATGGAGAACGAAGCTAGTCGAAAAAAAGGGAGAGAGAGAGAGAGAGAGGTACGATTGAGAAAACCTACTTAGCGTTACGAAGGAATTACGTTTTTGAAAGGGACAATGGCTTAAGTAATTGGCCTTTTCACCGACGAAAATCACATCAACGTATCGCGTTAGCCGAGTGAAACACGGCCGAGCAGTCCGTTTATACGTGGAAGACCCCTTTCACATCGGTGACACACAGGTGAACCCGGATAGATACAACCGGGCATACTGGCCGTCATAATCGATCCCAGAATTAGATTCCCTGCGTGTTAATGTCGCAGTACACGCGAGCCAATAGGTCGTCGATCACAGCCTATTTTTTGTTCCTTCTTTCTCCCTTTTTTTCGTGTACCGTCCCTTTCAATGGAGGAACATCGCGGACTTCCGGTTTTCAACTGTGACATTAAGGCTAGATCACACTTGGGCAAAACTGGGTGAACCAAAGTGCAGAGGAGCACTGAGAAGTTTGACGGAACCGAGTACAGTAAATTCTCTACACGAGTCAGTAAGTTTGGATTCTACAAGTGACAGTATAGATGGTCCTACGCCTAGGTCTGCGTCATTGCTGCGCCCATGTTATCTCGCTCGCAGTCAGTCAGGCGTGTAACGCTACCCCAGTCGGTTTCCTTTACGAGATTTCACGGCTCCACAAATCATAATAGAAAAATATAATTTCTTTAATTTTACTTTTTTTCATCTGGAATTTTTTTTAACATGTTGGTGAGATTTTTCTGATGAAAATGATATCAAACACGATATAATTTGAACAACATTTACTTATTAACACGTTCACTGTCGCGCCAGATTTACAGGTTGCTGTCAGACGGGCACAAGAAAATATATTTTAAGCATAGGATTATAGTATTATGCTTTATTAGAGTCGGCCTACCACCACGTAAAAAAAAAAATGTAGGGTCGATTCCACAACTGTCAGTAAAATGTAGGGTCGATTCGACAAGTGTCAGTAAAATGTAGGGTCGATTC